GATGCGTAGAAGTATAACTGACTTACTCAGTAAAGCATTAATGAATGCAGATTTCCCAACATTAGCTGACCCCTATAAGGAAGTGTGAAAAGATAAAGAAATAAATAAATAAAAGCTTCAGTGAAGTCAGTTCAATATGCCAAAAAAGGACCTCAAAATATTATCCCAGGATAATATAATGTTTTTATGATAAATCACAGTTAAACATAATCATGCTAGTGTGGCGCTTTCAAATATTTCTGCTAAGCTTATCTCCTTAAATTCAGCATTTTAAGGTAAGGTTCAATTGCTGCATATTTTGCACAGTGGAGTCCACAATCCAACAAGCACAAGTTTATACAGATATGCAAGCACATAGTACGGATAATATACTGAATGCAAACTAAAAACTATGAACTCATACAGTTATGCAAATGTTATCAGTGTGCAGGAAAGGTTGTTATCAAAATCTTAAGGCGTGATCAAACTAACTTTATAAGAAGTTTCAAATATACATATTGATCAGAAACCAGTAAAGGAACACTTTAATATTACTAACCCCAAATAATTATTAGTTAAATCTATAGGGGAGGAAAAAAGGTTCGACCAGATGAGTCATAAGATCTATTTTTGAATCACATATACATGATTTTGTATTTTCAGAGGAAAAACAAATTCCATTGAAAGTTCAACAAGAGGATAGACATAGGAACATCGTGTCATGCTTCAATCACAATCTTCTTAAGCATGCGAAGCTTCCAATTCAGAGGCTTACCAGAATGTACACATCTCGTCCCTGAACAAATTAAATAAATGGAACTTTATTAGAGGAAAAAATAAGAAAAAGTCAAAGTTAACAGTTCCCATCTTTAAGAAGAATATAAATGATGGGATATTGGATAAGAATAATACCATATATGAACGTTGGGATTTTGGAATATATCACTTCTGTATGGATTGGAAATTCATGGTAATAAGGAATTCAAAACATTCATCCATCAATAATGAGATTTTAACCAAAAAAAATACACCCCCGTTTCTTCATCAAGCAAGAAAATTTCAAGAGCCAGCATATCAATTTTACACTTCAGGCTATCCAAAGTAACTAAAAGGAGGCATCATGCCTTACATGACACATGAAATGACCAATAAATAAAAGCATTTCAAATTACAATGAAAATTGTGACACAGTTACCACAAATAACATAACATTTGGCAATTCATATTACAGAATAAAGACCTAACATTTTTCAAAACACATAAGCCATGCCGTCTTCAATATAAAATTGAATGGATGCATCTCATCAGATTTTCTGAAAGAACCTCTCAATTTGTCTAAGAAATGTGATTAGTTGGAAAAGACTAAGCTACAATTGAAAAAGACCAGGTGAAAAGTACCTTCTTTTCTTTCTGGATTTCGGACACCACTCCAGTTATCCCAACTAATGATTTAGAACTGGTGAGATGAACACTAAGAACACTGCAAAGAATATCAGTGTGAGGCATGAGAAGTTAAAGTCTTCCAATTAGCTCCTCGTATTATGAAAGTGGGATTTATTTAAAGTAATAATACATAATAACATTTTCAATTGAATTCATGTAATGATATTACAATCAAAAAAAGGAACACAAATGAATTAATTCTAAGTTTATAATTTATTATGGAGAATATTAATCATCAAATGAAACTTACTTTAGCCTTTTTTTAGTAACAGCTTCTACAACCCAATCCCCAACACAATTAAGATCAGTATCTCTTGGAAGGAGATCGATCTACAAAAAAGATATATGGTTACATTTAAAGATCTATATGTTTGTATAAACAAAATCAGCTACATGCACATGATATAGTTACCTTAGTCACCACCAGTATTATTGGATTGGCACCAGCAAGATCACGTACACGAGACAAAAAGCTGCCATTGAAGTCAACAATATCAACCTAGAAGTAATTACTTCAACAAATTAGATCATGAAGCTTCATCACTTTCAGCCATCATCATTAATTGGATAGAAAAAAATATCTCAGATTTTGCAAAACAATTGATGTCGTATGATACAAAATTTTCCAAGTAAACTATCTAGCACGAGAACAACACCATAGAACTTAATCATCAGTTACGTAACATGAATCAATCCCTAAATCAATTGAAAATTTTATAATCTTAGCAAAAAGATTAAATTATGAAGTAACAATTATATTGACAAACTGACTGCAGAACTACATAATAGTACTCAATACAAGAACCATGTTATTATATTTTACATATACTAAGCATCTCTAAAGAAAATTATTTTAATCCACAAAAAGAAAAAGTTAGATTTACCAATTTCACAATTAAAGCTTTCTCATGGCGTAAATGAGACAATTTTTCTCGAAGCTCTTCAGCTGTAATAAATTGTTTACCACCAGAGTATCCTCCATGTCCACCAACAGCAGTTACCATCTTCCCATGAGACAAAAGTCGGCATCGCCCACATAGAATGGTTTTAAGCTGGTGATGTTTCTTCTTCTGCATAATTAACAAGCACTTGGCAAGTAATAAACTTTATGCAGGCCCTACAACTACAAGTCAACTTCATTCTAGACATCTTTCTTTTGCACGTACATCAAAAGTATAAATGCAAAACTTCGGATTATGAAAATCATTCCAAGTTACAATTCATTTTGCATCTCTTACCACTTATACAGTGGCCACGCAAAAGTGCACCGCAAACCAAAAGGTTATGACTGAAATGAATGAGAAAAGTGAATGCAACAACTTCAAAGACTGTGTGCATGTTTGGCTCTCTGTTAAAGAAAATGATGTAGGGAAAGCCCCATTTAGAGAATCCAGTTTTGCCAAACCAAACTTCTACTTGCGTTGAGAAAAACCGAGGCTTGGGAAAGAAAACCCAGTTTAGCAAAAGCAACCAAACAAGTATTATATCATTATTTTCAAGAAACTACTGTTGAATAAATACTTCATTGCATTTCTTTTCTTTCTCTGCCTCATTCCCACTTCGATGTGCTTTTGTGCCAAAACCTAAAAAATGTCAATCATGATCCGATTAATAATTACTCGTTTCAAATATATATTAAATCCTATAGAATTCAAGCCCGACCACTATCAATCAGCCACACAAACATCCATCAAACGGGAAATTGACAAGTTCAACTTCAGTCACCGCATCGAACCAATAAAGACAGACTTCAACATTCAAATTGATTTTTTAAGTTCAGCTCCAAAATGGACTAAATCTGGGTTTTACCATAGAAGAATTTAAGATTCATTAATCTGCTGTAAAGTAAAACTACAATTAAACACCCGTCAAAATATAATATTAACTTTATCTACTTCAGAACGCATTGAAAAAGGCAGGCATTTCAAGAACGTGATTTAGGTCCAAGTGAAAATCTGAAATTACATCCAAAAAGAAGTCACATCCGAAAACGGGAGGGCGTATGTCCCGAAAGGCTGAAACTATCCCAACCCAACCTAACCAGAATTCAATTTCGAGAGCTACGTTTAATACACTCGCTGAAACAATAAAATAATTATAATAATAGATTAAAATACCAATTCATAAGTCTTCAAATCCACATAACCAGGGGCATCAATCTCCGAAGTTTGCAACGGAGCTCCACACCCATAACAACAAGCAACGGCCAAAGAAGCTTTCATCACAAGCTTCTCTTTCTTTTGCTTCTTCCTCTCCTTCTTGTTCTCTTTGAGGACTAGCTTCAGAGCCTCAACGGACTTCTGCTGTTCAAGGTGCCTCTCACCGGGTGTGGGAGCGGCTGCGCCGGTACCTTCAGGTTCCACCTGTTCATATTCTGTGAAATGCACATCTGATAATGGCGGTTTCCGAGAAGCCTGTGTTTGTAACTTGGAGAATTCGCAGATCATAAGGGAAGGCTTCGCATCCAATTGGGACAATTTAGAGTTGAAGGGTAAGAAGTGGTGTGCGATAGAGACAGAGAGAGAAGGTAGGACAGTGAAGAGGGTTTTAAGCGCCATAGCAGAGAGGTTTTAGTTTTCCATTCCTCATCCACACTAGTTCTGTTCCAGTGAGTCTCCGGGGGAGCACTATTGTAATACTGAAAGGTGAAGGAAACGACTTGGCGTTCGGTCAGATATTTTAAAAAAAAAAATCATAAATTTCCTAAAATTTATTATTAAAAGTTAAAGATTGTATAAATGCTTTATATTTTATTAAAATACATTTAACACTGAAAAAAATGATGTTATATTTAATTTTAATTAGATGTTTAACTTTAATACCATCACACAATAAATGCTACTAGTATTGTATTAATGAAAGTTTTAAATGTTATTTTCGATAGAAAAAGTTTGAAATGTTATGGATCTTGGTAGGATCAAATAAGGATACATTACACTTGTTAAAATATCTCCCACGATGTATCCACAAAAAAAAGATCTCTCACGACATTACAAAGAAAAAATTGTGACTTTTAAACTTATAAATTATAACTTTGGGGGGGGGGGGGAGACTAGCCATGTCTTATAAATTAAACAAAAAAAAAAAAAGGATTAAAAACCGTTCTTTACCCTAACATTTGTTAAGAGCTCCTAACAATTTTAGCAAAAGAAAAATCATATTTCCACCATAAACCCATTATCTTTTTCATTATCACCAATATAAAATAGTTGTAAGACATACAAATAATAACAACAAAATACTCTTACCCGTTTTGACCATCTAAAGGCCTAAAGAACTGAAAGTAATAATAGCAAGAATCGAACCGAATTTTAACAACAAAATGATGATAAAATGAGTTAAAACGCTTTACTATCATCATTTGCAAACTCCACAAGTATTCCACATCAATAAAATAAAGAAGAAAATAACAACTCTTTAATGAAAAAGCAATTTTGGTCTTGAAAAAAATTGTTTAAGAGAGAGAATGAGATTGCCTCACCCTTCAATATAAAATGGCCAGCACTCCAAAAAAAAAGTTAGAGGAAAAAATGATCTTTAACCCATAAAAAAAATGTTATTTAAGTACTGAATGAAAATTAGTAATGAAATATAATCATTCATAAATAATAAACATAATAGGTCCTACAAAGCTTTTTTTTAATTAAATTTTGCATTCAACTCTCACCATTTCAACCTAATGGTGCAGACTAAAAAATACATCAATGCCTTGATGGCACTCAAAAAAATTCACCAATAAATAAATATAGAAAAGTCTGGATCAACAGCTCAATCGGGCAGATAAGAAGGAAACATTACCTGTCAGAAGAAGATTTTTGTGCAAGTAATCAACACGTCCAGAGCAACAAGTAAAACTGGGCGAGGGGGTTTCTCTCTACAGTGTAAAATTTCAAACAAGCATGCTATTCTTTAGAGTATAAACAATGGTATGTCCTAAACTAAAGAGGCTGCATTTCCAAATGAGTATGCTCATTGTTTTTGTTAGCAGAAGTTGATTCTGAATTTTCCTTGCCATCATCTGTGGAGCTCATCTGTTGAACCGGAGGCGGATTCACGACCGTCATCGGCATGGCAACACTGTCGGCAAGCCGTCCCCTCATCTCCCTGTGCTCCTGACACAAGGCACACCAATGCAAGCAGCAGTGTACACAACATGGGTCGCATGGCGAGTTCTGTAACCATGACAGCATATATGTGGGCAAACAAGATGAAATAAAATGGATAAGAAAATAAATAAAAAATGATATTTGTACCTCTAAATTAAATAATGATTACAATGATATGATAAATATCATTTTTCATGGAGTAAAAAAAAAAGGGAGAATGACATTAAAATCCCAAAACTCAAAATTTATAATAGTTAAGTCTCAGAAAAAATTTTATGAAAAATTAGTTGCAATAATAAAACATTTAAATTTTAAATATAACTCTGAGTTTACAGTTAAAATTCCCATTTACAACTGTTTGAATTAATATTTGTAACTTGCTTTTAAAATATTTGTTGAGTACTTAACTGTCATAGATTTCATGTTTTGGAACTTTATTGTCTTTCTCCCAAAACTGAATCTTTTTCAGTCAAAAATACCAAACCAACCCTATGATTCCTCTGTATGTTTGTACTAAAAGAAAGAGGAAACACTGAATATTTGAAGATTGGCAAATTGACAAATTCCAAAAGAATATTATCTAAATCATCTTGGATTTACAGACTTATGCATAAAAAATGAATAATGAAACCATTCACATGACAAAAACTTCACCATAAAAGATAGGATTGAGGATTCCCATTGCTATCTTACCTAACTGACTGTTCCCAATAATTGATTCTCTCTAACCACGTCTTCCAGGGATTATCAAATTAATAGTATATCCAAGCTTATTTTCAAAACAAAAAAAATCAACTATGAGGGATATCATTGTGCTAGGAAAATTACAGGGAGTGATAACCCCTACCATCAAAATTTGTTATTTGCCCATCACTACGAATACATACTTGAACTTTCACAGAAATTTCATCACTTTGAAATAAAAATTGCATGATTTATTTAAAAATGGCTGAAGCAAGACTTTGTCATGCAGCATTACAAGTCCCCAGCAAGTATGCAACCATGTAATGTAAGATTAACACTAATGGTAGAATCATCAACCATGTAACAAATGCATTTCTTTTGTTTAATGTTTAGCACACCAACAGACTTGTCATTAATCAATATTCTGTTTTTCTTCCCCCTCTTTTTTTTTTTTTAATGCTTTGAAGCTTGCGTTTATTCTCTTTCTAAGATATGCATTTACCACTCCCAGTCTTATGGACTTCGGCTTTTCATCGCAACAGTTACCTCAATTAAGAAGGAAGGCTAACAGAACAGAACAGACACCGACAGAAGGGCATGCTTTTTAGTATGCAAAATTTCTACGTTACATGCTGATGCATCCCTCTAGTAGATGGTGACATTTGGTATTTTGCACCCCATTTTTTAAATGATAACAAAACAAAGTGAATGTGAAAGAGAAATTAAACATGTACCTTTAGGTGATACTTCTTCTGTAGGGATTGCCGAACTAGACCGGTGTAAATTCCACACATCCACCAAGTAAAAAGTAAACCCTCACCAATCAGAAATGCTGTCCCAGGTTCAATACCATGAAAAATTGCAGTCGCTGCTGCTAGAGCCATGCCACCTTCAACAAATATAGCATGACAAATGCATGGCTTGTTCCAAGGAGTGTCTTCCCTCAAGCTTTCTACATTTCGCCCAAATAATACACAAGGACAAAACAGTCCTGTTAAGCCTGAAATGAAGGATCACAATGTCCAGAAACAATAAATCCCATCTTCTATCACAGTACTAGAGCCACGCATAACTGAAGCAAAAATCTTAACAACATTTAGTAAATGAAGTATATTGAAGAGAATCGCAATAAAATGGTCAAATCTCAAGACATATTTCATATATTATTTTAAGCAACACAGATTTCAGTGCCTGGTCAATGTGATCTAGACATCTAGTTGATAACATGCAACTACCTAAAGTCTAAAACATGTTCAATTCTTCCTAAATGCTTAATCTCACTAACAAAACAAACCATAATATTAATAATACTGGCATGCTTCAAGTTATTGATTACAGCTGTCAGCTAGCCCAGGCCACATAGGCCCAACTCTAACTGGCCCTAAGTGTGGGTGTATGTGGACAAATCCAGTGTAGTGATTTTCTTTCATCGCAAAATGAGAGAAGAATCAATAGCCTATCATTTGATAAATATTATTATGTCAACTTGTTATTTGAGAAATTTGACACACACACACACACACGTAGACACATATGAGGCTGAGTTTTTCACAACAAAAAATTCAATTCTTGCCCAAATTTTGTTCTCCAACTTCAACACCAGTGTTGTTAAAGGCGAAAGAAGCACTCAAGGCGCAAAGCTGGTAAAACGCCTTAGGCGCAAAGCGCTACAAAGGCACACGCCTGAGTGAAGCAAGGCGCCACTACAGATAAAATGCATAATACATAGATTATAGACAACAAACCATAGATAAAGTGATAAATATAAATCTACTTCAATCAAAAACTTCTACAAAACTACAACAAAATAATATAAACTATTCCAATAATCAATCAAGTGCATAAAATGTCTTTAAAATATGAAAAAACAATATTGAGGCCTATAAAAAAATCAAACTAGAAATCTGAATCAGATTCAGATGCGGCAAGCTCAGGACTTTCTCCTTCTTCATTGTTGGATTTATATCATTCATCGTCTTCCTCTAACTCATCTGAATCAAAATTTGCAAGTTCCTCAATGTTGGTAATCGGTTGTTTTCCTTTAGCTCTAGATGAGCTAGCTTTTTTTCCTTTAGCTTGGCTTTGGCTTCTTGTTTGTTTAATTGGTTCTCCAACACCTGCTGCTGATGCAACAGCCCCCATGTTAACTCTTCATTCTCATCATCACCAAAAACACGCTCATCTGCTGCGTCCTCATCGACACCCATCATACTACCAAGTAGCCATTCATTACTTTCATCAATATCCGCCAAGGAAATGGGATCTACATCTTGCCTATCATATCTATTTTTCAGTGCTTGATTGTATTTCACAAAGACCAAATCATTGAGTCTATCTTGAGCAAGCTTGTTCCACTTTTTTGTATGAATCTAAGTGGAAAAATCATATATAATAATTAATTATCTTAATATGAAGTGAAGATATGATAAAACATAGCATTGACCTATTTTAAAAAATTGAAATATTTAAATTTAACCTGCTCAAACACACTCCAATTACGTTCACAGCCTGATGCACTACAAGTAAGGCTTAGTATTCTGATTGCCAAATGTTGTAAATTAGGGCTAGAGCTTCCATAAGAAGCCCACCATTCCGCTACAGTCATAAAAATAATACATAATTATTTAACTAAATTAGTAAAACTAGGACTATTAAATAACTAATGTGTGATTATAATCTACCTAGAGCTCTTGTTTTCCTTGTTCTAATGGCCAAATCAACCCCAAAAAGTCCCTCTGCTCTTTTATATATTGTCAATTCATTCATGATCTTCTCTTGGGCGGTTGGGTCTTTCACAAGTCTCCCTATGCAAGATATTAGGCCCCTAGTGATTTCTTCATCAAACTCTATTTCTGGATTGTCATAATAATATTCTGGATTTAGGAGATGAGCTGCAGCATGTAGAGGTTGATGAAATTGGCAATTCCACCTTTCATCAATAATATGAAAAATCTCTCTATACTTATCTTCATTATTATCAAATGCCTTTTGAATTGCCTCCTTGGCTCTATCCATTGCTTCATATATATAACCCATGGCTGGTTTTTTTTCATTATCTACAAGTCTTAGCACTCGAACAAGAGGTCCCATAACTTTTAATATATAAGAAACGGTATTCCAAAAAGAAGGCATAAGCACACTTTCAACCACACGCTTTCCTTTAAGTTCTCTTGACCACTTACTTGATTCCCACTTCTCTGAAGTAAACATAGTCCTCAATGCAGTTTTCTGTTGATGAATGCTTTTAAGAGTAAGATATGAAGTGCAGAATCTAGTTTTGCCAAGCCTCACCAACTCCTTTTGCTTAGTGAACTCTCTCATCATATTTAGAAGTCCTACGTGGTTATATATATACCCTATCAAATTGATTGCTCTTGCCAAAGTCTTTGATACCCTAAAAATTTTTCCAATGTCTTCTAATATAAGATCTACACAATGTGCTGCACATGGTGTCCAAAAAAGATTCAACCTTTTCATTTCTAATAATTTACCAGCAGCTTTAAAGTTAGACCCATTATCCGTCACTATTTGAACAATATTCTCTTCCCCAACATGGTCAACAAAATCATCAATCAAATTGAACAATCTTTTTACTGTTTTAACATATAAGGATGCATCAACAGATTTTATAAACATTGTGCCAGCTGGGCAATTCACTAAAAAATTTATCAAGCTTCTATTTGTTCGGCTAGTCCACCCATCAAGGATAATGGAACAGCCTTTTCTTTTCCACATATCTCTATGATTTTTCACCATATCATTTGTAAGTTCAACTTCTTTCTTCAAAATGGGCACCCTCAACTCATAGTAACTTGGGGGTTTTAGATTTGGACTATATTGTCCAATAGCTTCAATCATAATTTTAAAGGAATCCATGTTAGCAACATTAAATGGAATGCCAGCTTGGTAGAAAAATCGACCAATGTATTGACAAACCATAGCTCTTCTCTCCTTATCAAATTTATCAATTATATTTCCATCTCGCAACTTTCCTTATTTTCGTAATTGAATAACTTGCTCTGGTTTCCTCATAAAAGAATCCATGGGACCTTTTTGTCTAGGCTTCTTTGATGTAAGCATAACATTTTTTCCTTTCTTTCCATACAACTCCTCCTCCTCCTCCTCCTCTTCACCATGCATACTTATATCCACAACATTTATAATTGGATTATCATATGTCTCTTTTTCTACCTTTTTTTTGTCCATGTAATCTTGCAACTCCTTCCTCACATTATCAGGACACTTCAAACATTTAGCAGCATTCCTATTACCTCCAACTTGATGCAACTTAGCTCTATGAATCCCTCCTTTTGTAGATTTGTTACAAAAGGAACAAGTTACAGTATTGGTGTCATTTGGGTCACTCAAGAAATTATATTTCCATCCAGGGTCTTTTCTCTTATTCTGTTCTTGTTGCTTGTTTTGACCTTGACCACTACTTTCAGCCATGGAAGCACTAAAAACTGGGGAAAATACCAGGAAAAACCAAAAAAGAGAATGAAAAATTAAAGGTTTGTTTTTTGAATAATTGTTCTGTGTGTTGTAGTGCTAAAGGCCTAAAATCAAACAAATCAAATAAGAAAAACAGAAAATAATATGATGTTTGAAACTTAGAACCTGATTGTTAGAGTGCAAGATGTGCAAGACGTGCAAGACGTGATCCTTGGAGATATTGCTCACTTGCTCTAAGCCTCGAGACACACTGATGCCAATACCAAATAACAGTAATAGGTTTTCTTTTTATATCTTAAAAACTATACATTGGGAGGGATTTTAAAGTCTTAAACTTTCCTAAAAATTTTCCTTCAGATAGCAAAATTTTCTCAATCATATTTAAAATTTAAATCAAAGATAATTTCTTATAATTAATTAAAATATTTTTCTATATATAATATTTTTCATTATCTTTTATTTAAAATTCAAATCTTCCCTAATTTATTATATGTTATACGTTTCTCCCACAAGATAGGATAGGATTTGTTAAATCTTTTATAATTGTCTCAATCATATTTAAAATTTAAATCCAAGATAATTTCTTATAATTAATTAAAATCTTTTTCTATATATAATATTTTTCATTATCTTTTATTTAAAATTCAAATCTTCCCGAATTTATTATATGTTATACGTTTCTCTCACAAGATAGGATAGGATTTGTTAAATTTTTTATAATTATTTACTATATTTTTTTATCATATTTTAATGGATTTTGGTCAAAAAAAAATCATATTTTAATGGATGATATTCAGTCCACGATGCTGAACTTATGGCCAGCTAGCATACTCGCACGATACGGTCGTACCCAGTCGGTGGAGTGCAAACGAGTTCTCGTCTCTAATTCTTGCATACCCAGTCGACACCGACAGCCGAACAAGAACCAACTTCTACTCTTCTTTTCGGTTCTTTCACACCCAGTCAACATTCTTCACTCCTTCATCTTCCTTTATCGTCTTCTCTTCTGAAATCTTCCGTCTTTGTCTTCTCTTCTAATCTTCTCATCTTCACTGCTTCCAAGCACTATCAGTCGCGCACCTTTAGGATATGCGAGGCACACAAGGCGCTCAAAGGCGAGCGCCTAATGAAACCCATCGCCTCTCTTCACTTGAGAGGCGATGGCCAAGTTCAGCGCCTCGCCCAGGCGCCTTAGGCGCTAAGGCGAGCACCTTTTACAACACTGTTCAACACCTTTCTTGTAAACAAACAAACAAAACAAACAACAACTAGCCTTTATCCCACTAGGTGGGGTCGGCTACATGGATTGCAAGACGCCATTGTGCTCTATCATTTATCAAGCTTTTAAGAATATTATTAATTAACAGATCGCGTTCAATAACTTCCAAAAGTGTTCTCTTAGGCCTTCCTCTACCTCTCTTAATCGGACACAAAGTTATATGTTCCACTCTTCTCACCGGTGCCTCCCTTGGTCTTCTTTGTACATGCCCAAACCCTCTCAACCGATTTTCTACCATTTTTTACTCAATAGGTGCCACCCTCACTTTTTCGCGTACGTGCTCATTTCGAATTTTATCTTTACGTGTATGTCCGCACATCCATCGTAACATTCTCATCTCTGCTACTCCAACTTTATGCTCTTGTTGTCCCGTTAGAGCACCTTTCTTGTAATTTGAAAAAAAAAAAAAAGGAAAAAGTTTGGACCTATGGACCTAGCCTAACACAACCCTAGTAAGCCATGAGACCCAAAAAGGTACGTTCAAACGACATATCATTTTACTAGCCCAGCCCTATTTATTTTTTAGTGTTGAAAGGGCTCGCCCTAAAGGCCTAACCAGTCTTAAATGTTATATAATTGAGACAATGACCATTAGTCTCAACTACCGATTGATGTCATGAGAGATTGATCAACAATTAAGTAACTTACAACTTCCCCTATCTTCAGCACATCCAAAGATCCCAGTTGTCCAAGGTTCATCTGCAGGAGGTGAGTAGCTTTCAGGTAGCTCCTGTCCACATTCACTGCATTTGCGAACAGCCAACTGAAAAGTTGGGAGAAAGAAAAAATTATCATATATTTGTTACCCAGCTCACATTAAGAACATGCACCATTTATCTGAAGGTTTAATATTACATTGTCTCACATATGAAACTATCCCTTGAACTTTATTTTGAACGAGTATAAAATATCTTATTTGTGTGAGCACGTATAATATGAACAATCATTGTTATTTTCCTATTGTTAATTGTATCTTGTACGCTGTAACCACCATCAATGCATCATGTTTCAAGATAATAGCCATCTGTTTCAAACCCCTAGGCCGAGGGACTAAACCAGTGGAAAAGGTTATATCCCAATCATTAATCAATACCAACTGAAGGCAGAAAATAAGAGCAAAATTTGTATCACTCTACATTCCCAGATCTTTGCAACACCAAACTTTCAAACAATCTCATAGAAATTAACTTAATGCGTTGATTTCTGCCTTTCTCCTAGTGCCAATGAGATAAATTCAGGTTGGAGATCACTGATGGAAGAGTCATGATACCATAAACCTAAGAATGTTATACACAAAAACAGAATTACATAGTAAAGACACATTATCATATCCAAGCTTTCTTTTTCAGTCTGACTTTTCTTCATTTGTCTTTTACAGCAGCAATGGTTTGAAGAAGCGTCCTTCTTAGACAAGAAAGGCATTACCATTTCCAACTATTAGAGCTAATAGTTTTAACGGTGTGTAAAAAGATTTCCAGGGTTGTCTTGACAATTCTATAATATGCAAGGTTTCCCATTATAAAGTTAAAAAACAACGATATCCGAAAACTTGCGGTTCTAAACACATACAAATATGGCCAAGTCAATTACAATAACGCAGAAGCATTGTCAACTTTCTTGTAACTTCATTTCTCCACCTTAATATAGCCTTAGAACAAGCAGTGTCCAATGCGGTAAATGCTACCCTTAAATCTTGATATTATTAACAAAATAAACTTCATCAGAAGGTAGTGGGGATTGGTTAGTCATTGCTTGATCCGGGCCGCAGGATCAAGTGGCTTCTGCATATGAGAGGAATGCAAAATATTCCATACACGGTAGCTTAAATTCATTACCCACATTGCTGTTTCCATACCACCCACAACTCTAGAATTGTTAACTACACCGTACAATCACTCTGTGATGCTTTTCTTCCTTAAAAAATTAGCCTCAGAATGCACCCAGAAACTCTTCAACGAGTTCTCATAAAAAATACACACAAATGGGCATCAGATATAATCCTAAAATTCATTTAAATGACAACTGATTCAATTCGCAGAAAGGCGTGAAATCGAATTCTTCAATATTAATACCCAAATCAAAACCTATAGCACCATCATAAGGTACCAAAAACAAAACGGATCTAGGGCAGATTTCCACAGCAATTGAGTTCAAACCAAGTCAAAATAAGTCAAACCTGAGGAACCTCAATTGGCTGATTAAGTTCGCCGGGCTGGATATCCTGAAGAGGCGCCTGATCTTTAGAGAGCTTCACGTAACGCGATTGCTTCCTTTCGTCCATCCGATCTCACAAAAACACCACAATAAAAAAAAACTGCAAAAAAAAAAAACCAACTAAGAACCACACAATACGCGTCTGTTTGATGCTAAGAAACGGCAAAGAAAAATACAGAAGAAGCCAAATCTTAAACACTACAAGATCACGAGAATTACTAATTATCTTCGTATGTGTCTGCCGCTAATCAGTCTAGATTTATGGAAACGATAGAAGACTGGGGGGGTGAAGTTCAGCGGATTCTTCGAATAAAAGGAACAAAAACGGAATAGCGAAAGAAAAATAAGGAAGGAAAATGACTAGCTGCTACTGCGGGTCAAACACTCGAACCGACTAAACATACATTGGATGATATTACGAACAATTTTTTCGTATTGAACAATTTTTAATTGCGTCCGGCCTAACGAGCGCTCTGGGTCTTCATAAGCGATCAAGTGGCTTTCTAGAAGAATTTGATCGTCCTAAGTATAAGTCATTTTATAAGAATTTATATATTATTAATTGTTTTATTTCCTTATACACCATCCTTAAAAAAATATAAGATATTTTTAATTAAATTTTATCTTTTAATAAAATAATTACTTATTTTTAAACTAACTTTATATTTTTATATTTACATCTATTAAACACCCTACAATAAATATAAAATTATTTATCAATAGAGACACTTTTAAGGAAAAAAAAAAAAAGCAATGAATGCATCTCGAAACACAAAAATACCTTATATTTTTTAACAGAAGGAGTGTGTATTATTAATTATTTTATTTTAAATATATCCTATTCTCAATTTTTAATAAGATGATAAATAATGTTTTTTTGAAATTTATGAGATTAATTTGCGATGAAAAAAGAAATCAAAGAAACCTTTAAACAATTTTAGTAGTATAACTAAATTTTTTTAAGTTCTTTTAGATTAGTCATACTGATTTATGATAAAAACCAAAGAAAGTAATATTTTTGGTATGTTAGTCAACTTGATATATACTCCTTCTGTTCAAAAATGCAAGGTATCTTTTTAGGAGTTAGATGTTAAAAAATGTAAGACATTTTTAATCTTTTGAGATATAATCATTGCTTTGCTTTTTTTCAAAAGTATCCCTATCAATAGTGACTTTATATTTATTATAGAGTGTTTAGTAGGAGTAAATATGAAAAGATAGGGTTAGTTTGAAAGTAAGTAACTACTTTACTAAAGGTGAGATTTGGTTAAAAATACCTTATATTTTTGAACGAAGAGAGTACTCTCTTTGTTTTCATACATAAGAAAATTTTAAATACTTCATACAATTTAAAAAATTTATTTAATTTTAATAATTATGTTTAAAATTTTAAAATTTGAACTAAAATGCTCTGCTAATTAATGATCATATCATTTAATAATAGATATAGATAATTAAAGAAATATGTCATGAATTTTTTTTAAAACAATTTTTCTCTAGCTTATAAAAAAGAAAAATTCTTATATGGACCTGGTGCCCCATGTCATCCATACCCAATCTAATAAAATTATACCGATTCAATTAAATAAAATTTTATGTATTATTATTTTAATGATTTTATTTTTATAATAGAATGCTTATTTAATTGCATGTCTTTCTTTTCTCTATTATCACTGATTAATGTTAAAATTAATTTATATTTAATACTATTTAAATATCATGTTTTTATTAAATAAAATATAGATAACATGCTGCACCCTACTTATAAAAGATTTTCTCAAAAAGGAATAAAAAACACATGAAAGTCTTGCTTATATTTTAAAAAAGGTGGGAGTAGGTGATTAAATAAATGATTCACTTGATCTTAGTCAAAAGAATATGATTCACTTTATCGGCCTTATATATATTATGATTATGATTTACTATTATTAGATATTGTGATTGTGATGTGATATTCTGATTTTTTTTTCTGTTTTATACTATGTCATATTCTGATTTGTTATGGGATGTACCCGAAGGGACAATATTCTGATTTGTTTAAATGCTTTGAATGCATAATGTAAACTTTGATTCGGCCAAAAAAAAATTGATAGTTTATAAATAAAAAAAACAAGTGTCTATTTTTTTAATTCTCATCTAATATAAAGAATTCACATTTAGTTTTTTTTCTGAACATTCAGTTATTTTAAATTTGGTTATTTTTTTAATGTTAATTTAATTCATTAATTTTTAATTTTTTTTATGTATTTATCCTTTAAAATATGTTCAAATGCATTTGTTGATGTTGCTGTTAACTAAAGTCAGAAATTCATATGGGTTGGCATCAATTTGAATCAGCCTTATTTGAGTTAGGGTTAAAACACCCAAACATTGAAAAAAAAAAAAACTCATATAACTAAGTATTTTCATACTTTTAGACTATCTTCTTGGGGGCAATGAGTTTTTAGCTAGTTTGTCTTAGGAGTATGTCTTATTGTGTTGTAATTCTATTTTCTTCTTAAAACATTTACCTTTTACGAGGAGAAAAAAAGCATAACATTATCTCTTGCATTTGGTTCACAAGTATTTTTCATACATGATTATCTAACTTAATTAAATTTGAATATTGTTAGATTTAATTGAAAGTAGTTCTGCCCGCAACTATTTCTATTAAGAACAGAGAAAGATCTGATTTCATAATCACCAAAAATGTTCATGGTTAGTATATAGGTGATTTAGTTTGACAAAAAAAAAAGTAAAAGTCAATAAGAGGTGGAGAATTCTTAGATTAAACTTTGACCCAATTTCCCAATGCCCCTCTTTCAATCTGATCATTATTATTTTAATTCTTATGCTAATAAAATAAGACCCTTTTTTTATGATCCTCATTATAATTATATAATATAAAAAGGAATCCATTTTGGTAAGCACAAGGAGTAAAAATTATCTCATTCAAAATAACTGAAGATAAAAATCAGACTACTCCTTACAACTAAGTACATAATTCCAACATTCAACCACTTGTTTGATTTATTTATTAATTTTTTTGGTAAGAACCGGGGCAAAAGCCCTAGCAAATTACAAACTAATAATAATAAGCCCATTGTTAAAATCTATGATTCGGTCTTATGGGAAAAGCTTGGAGGTTTGTGGGATGAGTTGTGAAGACTGAAGAACATTGTGAAGTTCTGGTTCCACAAGTGGATCATTTCTGGAGATGGTTGTGTTGTTGGATCGATGCAGAGTCTCAGACCGAATTAGAGATGAATGGGAAAATAATGTGGTTTGTGATTATTTGCAGAATTATTAAGCATCTTCAAGAGTTCCTTAGTTCTGAGGATATATATAAATCGTTTGATAGCCCATTTGCTGTCGTTTTGAATTTTGATGAGGATGGTGTGGATGAATGGTTCAGCCGGCTCATCACGTGGAGAGCTCATCCTAACCCTTCATTTTAGCATGAAATAATCCATGCTCTTCATTTTAAATTAATTTTTAGATATTTTTAATATTATCTATACTTAAATAAATATTAATAAAAATTAACAAAAGGAAATGAGTGATTCCCCTCCCTCTGAAACACTCTAACCAAGCACATTTCCAGAGCCCGTTTATTTAAGTTTTTCTTCATAAGAAATTACTTTTTTTGGGAAAAAATCTATTTTGTAAAATTTTATGATATTTATTTAAATTTTTGAAAATAATCAAAATTTACAAATGAAAAGATTTTTGATTATTTTAACGGGGCTAACATAATCTTATATAGTAGATGGAAGAGGATGTCATAAAAATGTAAATATATACTAATATTATAAAAAATGTAAAATAACAAAATAATATATTATTTTTAATTATTATAACTAAATATAAAATAATGTATTTTTTTATAAAATATTTATAAAATAATGAGACTTTTGCATATATAGCTCATTTAATAGAACCAAATAAAGATAACAGCTTATTATTTTAAATATTTTGCAATGTAATTGGATTAATATTTAAGTTAAATTGAAATGTCAAAAACATCCTTTCTTTTAAAATTTGAAATCTCATTCTCATTTTTAAAGTTAAAATATATTATGTCCATTAAACTAACGATGAAATATTCAAATATTAAAACGATATGTGATTATAAATGGGTTACAATTATAATCATTTAGTTATGAAAGTTTTGCTATTATGTTATACAAGTTTTTCTTATTTATTTTGGAAATAAAAAGGAAAAATTGCACCCTAGTTGATTGTAAATGGATCACATTTTAGAATTTTCAAAAACTTCTTCCATAATTTTATATTAATATATTTTTCATGGCCATTGGGCTAATTTACTCTAAAATAAATTTTATTTTTTTTATAAAATTTATAAATTATTTAAAAACAAAATAATTTTTTATTTAAAATAAACGGGCACTTAATATTTGACATTTAAATTCATCAAAAAATATTTGACATTAAAATAAATCTTTATAAGTAAAATTAAAATATATATATATATATATATATATGTAAAGCCCTTTGATTTGGATCGATATTGAAATTCCACACAAACGGAATATATATGACAAATTATGGCATAAAATTATTAAAAATTAACATTTAAAGTATTGAAATTATAATTAAATATTAAACTGTTAGCATTTGGCAAATATTTTGTCCCAAGCAAACTTTTAGCATTCAAATTATTGAAATAATAATTTTTTTAGTCCTTTAAATGTATCTTAATTATCAATTTGGTTTTTGAAATTTAATATTTATAAATGAAATCCTCTAAAATTTCATAACCATTGACAATTCATATTTGTATATGATTATAAAACTTTAAGGATTTTATTGATAAAAAAAAACTTTAAGGACCAAATTATTATTGAGATAAATTTGAAGGATAAAAAATTTTATTATCTCGATAAATTATATATTCAAATGCAGAAAATAGTAACTAACAAGAAGAAATGATTCCTAAAGGCTAGGTAACAAAAATGAAGAAATAACAAACCCCTAGGATAGCAAAATTCACAGTTCTGATTCTATCAACGAGACAGATTTCCTAAACCAAAGATTGTGAAAAAGAGATAAGATTAATTAATTTGATCTGTTCATTATTTTTTAATGTTTGTCACGTACATAGTGATCTCTAAGTTGACCATGGCCAGCTTTTTTTCTAGGTTTTTGGTATGATCCATCTCTCTTAATTCGCTTCAGTTCTGCAGGTCGGTTCATTTAATTATCTTACATAAATATTCAATTTACATTTCAATTCCATTAAATTCTTATAATTTGGAGATCATGGTGTTGGTTTTGTTTTCAGAGCAATGAGATCGACCATATATTCTCTACCTCTGTGTGTGTGTGTGTGTGTGTGTGTGTGTGTGTGTGTGTGTGTGTAGATTAGTTGCAAACTGCAAATTACTAGTTACTTTTT